ATACAGATTCCAGGGCCATCACCCCAGCTCAGAGTCCAAGGCTGAGTGCTAATAAGTTCACGTCCTGACAAGTCTCCCCGCCGAACCTACTGCAGGCCAGCAGAGTCTGTGCCTGGCACGGCATCAAAACTCCCCAAACAAACTCACTGCCACCGAGGGAGGCCCTCTGACTCACAGTCGGCCTTGGGTTCGCAGCCCAGCACACCACCACCACTACGCAGTAAGGGGAGGGCTGTGCAGCAGTTCTCAACCTGTGGGTCGCGACCCCTTTGGGGAGTCGAATGACCCTTTCACAGGAGTTGCCTGATTCATAACAGTAGCAAAAGGACAGTGATGAAGTAGCAACGAACATAATTTTATGGCTGGGGGTCACCACCACATGAGGAGCTGTATGAAAATGTCGCTGCATCAGAAAGGTTGAGAACCACTGTTAGAGCTTTGGGGCCTCAGGACATGTGCAGTAAGGAGTAAGAGACGGAACAAACGGGGGAGGGAAGCAGAGACCATGCTGGGAGGGAAGGTGGGATAGGTGTCAAATGGACTTCAGGATTAGCAACGGAGACACGTTTGAAGGCTGCGGAAGACGAAGACGCTGCTGGCAAGGCCTCCCAATGGCACAGAGAAAACAGTGAAGGCTGTGGCCTAGGATGCCCTGCCCACAGAGCAGCAGGCTCCATGGGGAGCCCAGAAGAGGAGGCATGCGTGGTTTGGACAGAGAGGAGCGTGAGCAAATGGCTAGGGTGACATCACTGACTACCCAGACCTGCTATCAGCCAGCCACAGCGTGTCCAAGCTGAGATGTGCTGTAAGACTTCTTTTCCACATCTATCTAAGAGAGAAGATAAACAATCCCGAGGAGAAAACAATGGGACCAACGGTTTCACGGTGGGGACACGGAAGAAGGGAAAAGAAGGGGGAGCCAACAAACCCAGGGACAAGAGAACAAGTAATCTACAACTGATGGCAAAGAAAGCACAGAATGCCAGGTGGGCTTGATCAAGTGCATGTCGCCAAGAGGAATTACTGAGAGCCAAATGAAGACCAAACATGATGGTGGGACAAGAGGAAAGTAAAAGGAAATAGAGTAAAGAACTAAAGCAAAGGACACTTATACTGGTATAAATACAGGCAGGTATACATGTAAATATATACATGATGATAGGGACATATATCTATGTACATATATGTTAAGTATTAAGGTAGCAGACAGATATTGGGTCTCTACTCAAGTCCTCCCTCAACGCAGAACACTTTGTTCTAAATAACCTGGCGTTCTGTGATGCTCACTTTCCCAACATGATTGCTGAAGACAAAATGGATGCATAAAGAAATGTGAAGAAAGCTGATATTGCTTGGCTATCACAAGACATAGTGTCAGGGGGAACTGATTACAAGGATCTACATATAACCCCCTCCCTGGGGGACAGACAATAGAAAAGTGGGTGAAGGGAGACATCGGACAGTGTAAGACATGACAAAATAATAATAATTTATAAACTATCAAGGGTTCCTGAGGAGGCGGAGCAGGGAGGGAGGGAAGAAATGAGGAGCTGATACCAAGGGCTCAGGTAGAAAGCAAATGTTCTGAGAACGATGAGGGCAATAAATGTAGAAATGTGCTCGACACAATATATGGATGGATGGATTGTGATAAGAGTTGTATGAGTCCCAATAAAATGATTTTTTTTGTTAGGGGAAAAAAAAGACATAGCATCTGAGGTCTTAAAGGCTTGAAGTTAAACAAGTGATCATCTAGCAGGGAAGCAACAAAGCCCACATGGAAGAAGCACACCAGCCTGTGGGATCACGAGGTGTCGACGGGATCAGGGATCAGAAAACCCAAAACAATCATGTCTCAGTGAACCGGGGCGAGTGGGGTGGAGTGGAGACCCAAAGTATAGACAATGGGACATCCCCCCACAGAAGGGTCACATGGAAGAGACGAGCCAGCAGCCAGGGTGCAGTATAGCATCAATGAAACACACAACATTCCTCTAGTTCTTTAATGCTTCCTCCCCCCCACTATCATGACCCCAGTTCTACCTTGCAAATCCAGCTATACCAGAGCATGTACATGGGTACAGATAAGAGTGCTGGACACAAGGAATCCAGGACAGATAAACCCCTCAGGAACAGTAATGGGAGTAGTGATACCAGGAGGATAGGGGGAGGGGAGAAAGTGGGAATCGATCGCAACATGAGGCCAACATAACCCCCCAACCCAGGGTGACAAACAACAGAAACATAGGTTCAGAGAGACTGTGCACAGTGTAAGATATGAAAATAATAATAATTTATAATTAAGGGTTCATGAGGGGAGGGAGGGGAAAAAAGAGGAGCTAATACCAAGGCTCAAATAGAAAGAAAATGCTTTGAAAAGGATGGTGGCAACATATGTACAAATGTGCTTGGCACAATGGATGAATGGATTGTTATAGGAGTTGTAAGAGCCCCCAGTAAAACGATTTTAAAAATAATGACAATAAAAGATGGCGTGGACTATGAAGATCAGAATGAAAACGGGAATGTCAAATGCCCCATTGACTTATACGGATTACAAGTCATGCTGATAATGTTTGGGCTGTGTTGGGTTCAATTAAATATATGACTAAATTGAATTCCCGTGGCTGTCGGCAAACTTAAAATGACACACGCAGCTCTTCTTTGCAGCTCGTTAGTTTTCTATTGGACAATGTTGCTCTGGAACTATTAGAACAGAAGCCAGAATTAGGAGGGAAAACAAAAGAAACCCCACTGAGAAGCTGTGCCTCCTGGAAAGGTGTGCTGTCTCTGCACAACCCCAGGACCTGCCTCTTTCACATGCAGCTTCAGCAAACCCGCAGGGAAGCAGTGCTTGCCAACCAGACTCCCTCCCACCCAAAGGAAGGTCCCGGGAAAGGCTGAAGCCTCCGGAGAAGGCCTTGTTCTCACACACGTGTGTGAGCAAGGAAGGAGCAATCACTCTTAGCCTCCTAAGGCAGGCACTGGAGGAGCGGCAATCCCAAGAAGGCACATGCCCACCCTACGGGATTTCCAGAGTTGAAAGCAATAGGCAAGCAGATAACCCAGCTTCCTGTTTTCCAACCACGGTCACCCCGCCCCCCTCCACCTATGGCAGCTAGCTGTTTTCTGGTGCCTTCTCCCTCCTCCCCCCACAGTGGTCAGGCCTCAGTGGTATGTGGTGACGGTGAGCAGTTTCCACTTGCTATCCCTCCCAGATAACAAATACCGCCCCGCCCCCCAACAGCCAAAATAACAGCGGGCAGTGTGTTTACTTCTCAGGGGTGTTATCAAAGATCAACACTGCAGTTCCTTCCGGCCTCCTGGGCCCTGCAGAGTCAGTGGCCGGCCAGCGAGGGCAGAGGGCCCTGGTCAGCACGGCTGCTTTCAGGGTTGGGCCTTGTTTGTCTGCTTGGGGAGGGGGCAGCTCTCCCTCCTGCTGCTCTGGGCGGTGAGCTTGGAAGAGGCCCGAGCTCAGGCGGCCCAAAGGCCTCCCACAGCCGGCGGATGAGACGTTTTCGTTGAGAGTTGGACTCGGCGGCCCACCTTCTATGTTAGGCCATCACGGCGCCCAGGCTACAGCTTCACACTGTTCCCCAGTGGCAACAAGGGTCCACTCTCCCCACGTCCACCACACTGAGGTGGCCGGGTGTCAATTAGGAGTTCCCCTTCCTCAGTCTCTTCCTGACTGGACCCCCTGCCCTGCTTCCTTCCTGGTCGGGGCAGGCTGGGTTTCCCGGAGCTCCAGCTTCCTAGTGGAGGCCATGTGGTCCTTCAGAGAGGCCGCTGAGCGCCGCTGAGCCCCGCTGAGCCCTGGCATCGCCTCCACCGGTTTCAGTAAGTGGGAGCCTTTTGGGGATTCGCTTCTCAGAACCCAGACCCTATTCCTCAGAGCAGCGATAGAACACGACCTCACCTTGTCTTCTAACCGCCGGCCCCAACCCCAAACCCGAGGCTGAGCTGAGCACCCCCACTGACATGCTACAACTTCTGTGGGGACAGCTCGTCACCCCTGGAGTCTTAGTCAAGGCCAGCGTTTCTCAACCTGGGGGTCGGACGACCCTTTCACAGGGATTGCTTAATACATCCTGCATATCAGGTATTTACATGATGATTCATAACAGTAGCAAAATGACAGTGATGAAGTAGCAGCAAACATAATGTTTTGGGTGGGGGTCACCGCCACATGAGGAGCTGTGTGAAAGGGTCGCAGCATGAGGAAGGTTGAGAACCGCTGCTCTAGGCACCAATGCGATCTACAAACCACGCCCACTCTGGGCAATTCTGCTTGCGGTCACCTGGCCTAGCCTTTGGGCATTTTGCAAGCCCTCCAGATCAGGTACAAAGACGGGTCGCCATCTCCCAGGCACTGTCCCTCGGGTTAAGGAGAGTCATGCCCCAGCAGCTCTGACTCAGGCAGAGACGAGTCAAGGGGATTCAGAGCAGCTTTTGCCTAAAGCTCATCAATCAACGAGGAACAAAACCAGCCCAGCCCTGTCTCCCTGGCAGAACTGAAAAATGAGACCAAACCAAACCACTGCCATGAGTCAGATCTGACTCCTGGGGGCCCTATGGGACAGGGTAGAACTGCCCTGTGGGGTCGAGTCTGTAAACCTTCATGGGAGTAGAAAGGCTCATCTTTCTCCCATCGATGGTTTCGAACTGCCAGCCTTGTGGTTGGCAGCCCAATGCGTAACCATTGCACCACCGGACCAGGGTCAAAACCCGCCTGGGGGCCATCCGAGACCATTCAGAAGGCAGGACTGAACTTGGCCACCATCGGAAGTATCGTGCTCCTGTGCTGTTGCTCAGAGACTGCTTCAGGGCAGGCCAGCCCCCGCCCACCCCGCCCACCCCACCCACCCCCGCTGCCCACCAGCAGTTTCTTATCTCGCTGGGTCGGTTGGGGTGAGGGGAGAAGGACATGCGCCTTGCTCACTGGGGGTGCTCAGGGGCTCCGCAGGGACAGGCAGCCGTGGCCAAGGGGACGGAGGAGTCTGAGACAAAAGGCCTGGGAGATCTCTTCATAGCTGTCACCGCATTCTAACAAGGGACAAAGGGATTCCAGAAAGGGGCAAGACTTAACACACACGCACGCACGTACACCCAGCAAACAAGCCAAGAGCAGACCCCAGCAAGCGCCACCCCTCCTCCTCCCTCCCTAAAAAGCCAGGCCCTTGCCCCCAGAGTACCTCCTGCTGTTTGCCAGTGACAGCTGGGCAGGCTCGCTAGCCGCACCAACCTAAGAATCTCGCCGGGCATTCTGACCTCCATTGTTGATTTCTATCCGGACAGCAAGAGCGTTTTTTAGCTCCCGAGGAATGCAGGTCAGCCCACAGAAGCAAGACTGACCCTGGGGACCCACCTGAGACTCCTACATAAGGCGGCCCTGGCAGCAGGCACCACTTCTCCCAGGAACCGCAGGTAAGTTCTAACACCTGGTGCTAATTTTTAGGCTTAGCGAGAGAGAATGCTTAGCTCCCTGCTGGGCTGCTAGCCGGCCACTCCCTCCACGTCGCTGGGCCTCAGGAGGGCCACGGAAACAAAGCTCAGCTCAGGAACAGCCGAAACCCAGCTCTGGCACTCCCTCCCCGGCCCTGACCCCCAGCGTCCTTGGGCACAGCCTCAGGGCCTGGGACCTACACCCTTGAGGTGACCAGTCAGTCCCCGTGGCCACATTCTACCCCCACCAGACTTAGGAAAGACAGAGCCACTCCCCTTCCAGCCTCTCCTAATTGGGGAAGGAGGGGGGAGAGCTGTTCTACTGAGTAGGCAGAGTTCCAGGTGAGTGAAGGCTGGGGCGGGTGCCTCTCTCTCCTCAGCCCACCTGTGACCATGCTCTCCCGGGGGACCATCTGCGTCCTGCTGCTCCTCAGTGTGCTCTGGGTGGACCTGACCAGGGCAGGCTCCAGCTTCCTGAGCCCCGGACACCCCAAAGTGCAGGTGAGGTGCTCCCTCCCCATGGTTCCACAAGCACACATTATTGGGGGTGGGCAGTTCGGGGCATCTCATTCCAACCCTGCCTAATATGGAGCAACCAGCTGTGTGACCTGAGGCAATGGGTCCCCTCCTCTGGGCTCCAGCCAGGTCTGCATTCTGGCTGGCAGTAGCAGACCCTAAAGGGGGCATCTCCTCCAGCCACAGAGAAAGGAGTCCAAGACACCAGCAGGCAAGCTGCAGGCCCGAGCGGTGGAAGGCCGGCTGCGCCCTGAAGGTGGGAGTCCGGAGGACGAGGACGGGGCAGAGGACGTGGAAATCCAGGTGGTACCTCCAGGGTGTGGGTGTGGGCTGCTGTGGTGGAGCGAGCGAGCTGTGAAGGGGGGATGGGGGGGTAGCGGTGACTATACACAGGGGCTTGTTTTAAAGTTGCCCCCAAATGAGAAAGCAGCATGAAACTGTAGCTGAGCTCTGCACCGGGCTCTTGGTCCACTTGGAGTGGAAATGTTGGGACGGGGGTGTGCCAGAAGTGACTGCCACCACGGGCTGGGGACAGGCAAGCATCTGCAGGCCGAGAGCCAGCCCTTGTGCAGCTTCCAGGGGCTGGGAGACAACCTGCAGGTACTAACCGCTGGTCCCACGGAGGGTGGTTCCTGCCCTCTTAGCCCCCCCCAAAACAAACCAACCCCACAGTTTTAGCCCATGGGCTCTAATGCCTTAATTTGGGGGTACTTATAAAGACAGAGCAGTGGGCAACCTCACCTGTTGACCAGGGCCCCATCCGGTCTTCTCTGACTCATCTCGCGTGAAGCAGACTATATACCGGTGGCTCAGGATTGGGAGAGTAATTGGTTCCCGGTGGGTCAAACCCACCAGCTGCTCCGAGGAGGAGGATGACGAAGAGGCCTTGTGCTCCTGTGAGCGCTTACAGAGCCTGGGAACCCGGGGACGGCTAAGAGGAGTTGGAAAGTGCTCCTTGGCAGGGTGGTTCGGGGAATGGCTTTGTACAAGCATTCCGGTGGTGCCACCTCAGAATTCCCTGGGGCACTGTGACGGCAGTGACATTGCCGAGCCTCTGGGGGGGCGATTGCTCTGGCAGACCCTTTTGCCCCTTGTAAAAGGGGCAAGGCTGCCGGAGGGAACTAGAGCATGCTCCTTCCTCGCCCTCCAGGACTGCCACTTTCTCCTGGGTCATGGGTGACAGGACCAAACGTTTTAGGGCATTTTTATTTTCTGTAAAGGGGGCGGAGGTAGGACAATTAAGTTGGGAAACACAGATCACTCTACACCACCTGTGAACCCAGTCAGGCGGCTGTTACGCCCGCGTTCACAAGCAGATGCCTGGTGAAGCCCCACGCGGACTTCCCTTCACCGACTCACCTCCCTCTCTTCTTCAGCTGCTAAGAAGCTGCACCCACCCCAGGGTCCCGAAGCTCCAACTCTCCTCTCTGCTCCGGCCAGAGCCTAGCTAGAGGTGTTCCCAGACCCTCCCTCCACAGGAAGAACGAGCCCCCAGGGATTTTAAATGGCCAGAAGAATCCCTCATTTGAAACCTGGGAGTGTTTCCAGTGAGCGGCCCAGATCCCTCGGGAAGAGGTTTGGGAGGCTGAGGCCCCCCGGCCCCAGCAGGATTGGGGTGGTTGGGGAGTCTCCAGGAGAGCTGGTTTGGGGGCAGTCCACACTGCCAGATGCCGGAGTCGGGGGGCCTAAGGCGCAGGCCCAGCCACAGGAGCTCTGCCTCTGCTCATCTGCCAAAGCCCTCCCAGGGCAGGGTGCCCCCCAACCCCTCTCCCGTTCTCCTCTTCTCCCCTCACAACTTTCCCCCAAATGGGGCGCCTGGCTTACAAGACTTCTGAGACCAAGCCCTACCCACTTTTCACCCCACGCACACAGGCGCACGCACGCACTCACGCAGTCCCAGAGCAGGCAGGATGCTGACCACCAGAGGGAAGGGCCTTCCAAAGTGCGCCCTGCCACTCCTACAGCACGCCCTGCCACTCCTACAGCACGTTCCCAGATGAAGGGCCACCAGCACTATCAGATCAGAGCTCCCGGGATCAGCCCATGGAGCAGGGAGGAGAAAAATGATTTATTCAAGAGGGGAAACCTAAGCCCCCCCCCCCCCAAATGCTGCCTCTTATCCGCTGCTCCATCATCAGATAAGCCTGTGGGTGCATGAGAGAGCAGTTTTCATCAAACGGACTCCCAGGGACTGGAGGAGGGAGAGACAGAGACAAAGGGAGGGGAGGAGAGAATTTTCAAAAAACAGTCACCAAAGAGCATTTGCTGCTGGAATAACTTTTGTGTGCCCGTTGCTCACTGTAAGACAGGAATTGTACCCAGAGCTGCCCCGAGGGATGCTCAATGCAGGGTGGCAATGGAGGGAGGTGCTCGCCAAGGCCTGGACTAGGAGAGGCTTCGGGCTGGGTGAGTTTGAGTCCTGCACTCTACAGCCTTTGGCCACTAAGTCCTGGGTCCTTGGGCAAGACATCTAACCTCTCGGCCTCTCCTGCTTTACAAGTAAGTGGGGATAAGACTTCCTGTTCCTGGGCAGGTGGACAGCGATGACCAGGGGCTCCCAAACATGTCAGTGACTGAGCGCCACCAGCAGACAAAGTGCCTTCTTGCCTCCTAAGGAAGAAAACAAGTTGGTGTAGGCGACAAACAGAGCTTTGGGACCCTCCTTCCCAAGCGGGGAGATACAAACAGGGTTGGCCGCCCTCAGCAAGGCCAAGAAAGGGCCTCATGGGGGTCTCCTCTGAGGGCAGCGGAGACAAACAGAGGAGATGGGAGTGTAGGACAGAGAAGCTCCCTGCCAGGCCTTTTGTCCTCTACAGCTGCAGGGGGCTAGGGCGTGGGGGTGGGGCAAGAAGCTGAGCCTAGGAGACAGACATGGCACTGCATCCTTCGGGTAGGGGTTGATAGTTGAGGCAGGGTTAGGGACCTATAACCTGACAGATATTGCCTCCTCTCTCTCCCCTCCACCCAGTTCAATGTCCCCTTTGACATTGGAATCAAGGTGTCAGTAGCTCAGTACGGGGAGCATGGCCGGGCCCTAGACAAGTTCCTCCAGGACATCCTTTGGGAAGGCAACCAAGGTAAGCCCTGGCCTACAGGAAGGTGGGAGCCTGGTCACCCTCAGGGAGACAGACGTCTTCTCTGCCTCCACGATCTCACAAACAGCATCAAGGGCCTCCTTCCCGATGACCGCGGGGGTGAGCACTGTTTCAAGAACAGCACCTTCACTCTGGGGCTGCATTGGATTGCCGCCCCTCCAACTCGAAGGGGGAAGCTGCTTGGTATGAAAGTGCCTTGGTGCCCACCACATTCAGAACAGGCTTCACAGCCAAGCAAACTTTGCTTAGAATCTCCTTGTAACAAAGCTACCGCCCAACTTTGTCCTGTGTCCAAATCCCTGGCTCTGGAAGCACAGGCTACACTATGCAAAGTAAGCAGCGTGCCTCAGGGATGCAGCTTCTACCCGCCACCCCACAGCCACACAAGCCAACTCAAATCCCCGTCTTCTAATGCCAAGGCCAGTGTGCCCAGCCATGACCCACTGCCCTCACATGACAAAGATCACCTCAGGCCACTGGGCAGGATAATGGACTTGACTTTTGACTTCTTTTCAGAGGCGCCAACTGACAAGTGACCACAGCCCACAGGCGGACCCTGCTCTCCGTTTTCCTCCCTATCCTGCAGTTAGGGTTCTTTGTCAAGAACCCCTGGACAAGTTCAGGTGGTCAATAAATATTCACACTGCATGTTTCGTGTTCAAAACGGGAATTTATTCCACCAAAGAGGGAAATTTCACTGGAAGAAAAAAATCTTAAAACACACAGTTCTTGGTCTATAATAAATGTGGGGATTTACACAATTGATGTATGGATTGTGATAAGAGTTGTATGAGCCCCTAATAAAACAATTAAAAAAATGTGGAGGCAGGGATATGTCGCAAGGCAGGTGTGCATGCTTAGAACCCCAAATGAAGCCAACAGATAATCAAGGGATACACACATAAACCCACTGCCACCAGGTCGATTCTGGCTCAGTGACCTTCTACATCAGAGAAAACTGTGCCAGATCCTGAGGACGTGGATCGGTGGAAGCAGGCAGTTCCGTGTCTCTCGGTCAGAGCAGCTGGTGGCCTTGAAACGGTCCCCCAGTTAGCAGCTGGAGTCTCACCCACTGCACCACCAGGGCTCCTGGAGCCACCCAGCGGGGCACACCAGTGGCTGCTGGCCAGCGCCAGGCAGGGTTGGAACAGCGAGGCTTACCCTTCCTGCTGAGGCCTGGTGCAGCAGCTGCCTGCCCTAGGGTGAGGAAAGCTGGCCGCGGCTTTGGGTATTTCAGAGGTACCAGGTAGGTGGTCCCATAACACCGCCCCAACCCCATCACAACAAAATCCCAGTTGAGACGCCAGCCCTTCTGAGAGGAGCGCCATGCACCACTGACACCTTAGTGTAGGCTAGCATGTCTGAGGCTGTGGTGACAGACCGGCAGCAGACAAGAAAGCCACAAAGACAGGCACTGCCAAGGCACCCAAGCAGGAACGTGAGCCGGGCCAGTATGCTCAAAAACCCTCGCAGGGACCGCGGGACAACAGCCACAATCTGCAAAAAGCCCCATTGCTAGAAGGCTTCAGGGGCTGTGTCTCAAATAAAACTGTGGCCACCAGGCACAGCCTTAGAGGCACAATGACCCACCCATGCTGTGGCTCACGCAACATGGAAACATCACCATCACCTGAAAACATCTTTGAAATGTACTCTTGAACCTTTTGCAAACAAATTTAAAGTTTTAATACAATTTCTCCTCTGAGCATGGATTTTACTATTCGTAATCCTTGGATCACACTGGCTGGTGTGTTCCTTCCACCTGGACTAGGCTGACACATCATTGAGATGGCTCCTTGTGCTAAGACAAGCCTTTGAGACATCAAATGTCACCCTGCTATTTGATTTCTGCACCACACTTTGCTATAGTACCCATATGCTGCTCACTGATCATTCTTCTGAAGGCGAGTCCTAAGCATGGTGCCTCATACTCTTACCTGCCTCGGTCTGCTGTTAGAGGCACTGTGTACTTGAGAATGTCCCCAAGCATTTGGAGTGTCGGGTTCCAGCACTGGCCAATAACCAGACTGAGCCACCGTGTATCACTCAGAGCAATAGAGAGAGAGGAAGCGTGGAAGTTGGCTAGAGGACCCACTGCATTACTTTCGGAAAGAGATGGCCAAATTGGGGAGGCAGGGATACAGGGTCATCCAGTAGCACAACAACAGTCAAATCAGCCATTCGAAAGTGAAGTAAAAAGCAAGGGGTTTCCACACCCTCCCAGGTCATGTTACACTGTCTTACACTGTCTAGCAGCACATGAATGGTCACCCTCAAGACAAAGGTATGTATAGCACCCTGTTTGTCCTTGGAAGGGGGACAACAGAGGGCTGGAGACCTCCACGGAGTCACCATTTCTCATCTTCTAACCCAGGACAAGTTGGTTTCAGGGGCAGGCAGTTTGGCCATAAAGATGTTGTGTTATGGGGATGACTATGCTGCAGTTGACAATACAGCACTTAGCAACTGTTAGCAAGCCCAAATCTCCCCAACAGAACTCAGCTGACCCCCACACTGGCAAACTTGAGGCACACAGAGGTAGCAGCACAGCCAAACTGGAAGACTGACAGTGAATCAAGGCCTGACTGGCAGGCCAGATGTGACTTCTTAAACCCATTCTTCTTTTTTTTTTTTTTAATTTCCCCCCACCCAACTCCTCCCAACCCATTCTTCTCACATTCTTGGTTGCCACAGAGCTGATCGGACTCCATGTGTGCAGAGAAACTGCTGCATAGGTTAAGCTGTGACCTCCAGAAGATCACCAATGGGGCAGTTTTCTGAGGAGCCTTTGGATGGATTCAAACTACCAACCTCCTGGCCAGTCCTCAAATGCTCAGTATTAACACTGTGCGTCACCCGGGAACTCCTCTAATTTCACTGATAAGGCTCACCCGTACCTTCAAAGAGCGACAACAAACAACAGATTTTATTCCGCGGGTTACTGGACTCTTATCTAAGAGACAGGCAGCGAGCTTGTCCTTGGTGGGAACCAGGGTGAAGGACCCGTCTAGATGAAGTGCACCAGCGTCTCTCCGCCCCTCACAGGCTCTGGGTGTGCACGAATACGCCCTCACAGGCACCAGCGCCCGGAGCGGCGGCGGACTCAGCACGGCAGACGACACGGCTGCTCACAAGCTGAAGAAGCTCTCGCGTCTCACACACAGGACAACACAGAGCAGGTCAAAGCGAGGGAGACAAATCAGAGGTCAGCGGTGTCTGCGATGTTCAGAGGCACTGGGCCTGCTTGTTCTACAAAGGCAATATCGTGTGGGTGAGTGGGGGCAGGGGAGGAGGCACGGCTGTCAGGAAGAGCTTTGGAGAATTAAACGAATTTGCCCCTCTGCACCTGGGTAGGACATGAGGGGCTGTCACATGGGGTGAAACAGGTATACTCTTGCACCAATATTCCAGAAGGGAGCAAAACCAGTGCAGAGAGATACTGACCCTCGGATCCCAACAAGTAGGTAGCGTCTACTGCGGTGGAACCTTGTGAAGGGGCACACCCAAGGGGCAGTCCTGGGAACTTCTCTGGGTAGAAGCACTACATCCTGTGGGGTCCTCCCACTCAAATGCCCCCTCAACCAGGGCGGCCAACGGACACACAAGTGAATAGCCCCTCTCTCAAATACCACAATGTGGGCAGTGGAGCTACCGAGACCAGCAGCCAGAGTCCTCTTGCTTTGCATGAGATGGCTTTACGGCTCCTCCAAAGGCGGCTCTCCAGTGGATTTCCTCCAGGGATTCCTCACCTGGGGGGTCGTTTTTAGGCTTGAGAACCACGAGTCAAGTCACACCCATGACTGCTAAAAAGCAAAGGCTTCGGAGGACAGGGATTTGGAGTGGCAATCTCGCCATACCTTTATAAGAGACTCTTCTTCATTATTGCCCTGAAGCATTGTCGCTGGGAGGCAAGGCCCTGATGACATCAAGGGCAGCACCACCCCCACCCCCACCCTTCACCCACCCCACCCACTGGGAGCAGAAGCCTTAGGAAGAGGTTCTGAGGCACACGTTCTATCCTGGTACCCTCCATTGCAATGGACGCTCCGAAAAAACACACCCTAGATGTGGAGAGAGGCCACGCTCAGACCCAGCCTGTGCCTCCCTGGAGCCTGAAGAGAGAAAGGAAGAAGGAAGGGTCCAAACCAAGCTGGCCCGACAGAGCGGACTTCGCCTGCTCCTCCAGTGTGCGCTCTCTCATGGGAAATGCAGCAGCCAGAGCGCGTGCCAGTCTGTGAAAACCACATGTGCATGTTACAACCTTTTCGGGGCCACTCCTTAACTGCACACTTGCTTAAAGATTGTAGAGGCGACTGGTGTTCTCACGTAAGGTGGCCAAGGTGTGGGAGAGTGGCTGGTCTTTGACCCTGGCAATCTCTCGTACAGTGTGCAGGGCCAAGCCCGGGTGGGCATATTGGCAAAGGCTTTTGGGAACCTGGAAGACATCAAGCATTCAGAACATCACCGTACCTTCCGTGCGTGCGTGACCATGACAAAGGATTCCCTCCCTGTCCCTTCCCCAGCAAGGACCTCTTTGGGGCTACCCTGTAGAGACCCCTTTACCTGCAGGTGCAGGGAGAGTCCTAGTCATGGGGGGGCTCTGGGTGAGCAGGGTCCCACGTTTCCTTGGACTACAGGGTAAGGCTTTGCACTGCCTGGAAGAGAGTGGTTACCCTTCAGCTTCTCGTCCCCCTAAACTTGGGGTTCTGCAGAGCAACGAGGGGACAGCTACACGGACAAGGGTGGGATCTGGAGTCACTGGGGCTCTGGCTGGGCCACCCTCCCTCCTCAGTGCCCCAGCTCGGCCTGAAGGCACCCCTACCTGGCGAGGGAGAAAGTAGGGAGCATCGGTTTCCACGATGATTTTCTCCAGCGGGATCTGTCGTAGGGCCTCCCGGACCTTCCACGCGGAGGAGTAAGTCAGGACTGCTGTGAAGCCCACAGACATGTTGGGGAAGTACTTCAGCAGGGGCTCGATGACCGGGTAGCTGCCAGTGAAGCAATGTCTGCGGGGTGACAATGCCAGATCAGGGCTCTCAGTCTCCCCCAGCTCCTTCTGACAGACTGCCCCTCAACATTCTTTCTTTGGGGAAAACTCCTAGAAACGGACAAGACTGCATCCGAGGGAAAGACCCCACAATAAACACACGAGACACAAGGGCTGCCCCACAGCAATGCCCACAGCGGCACCCGCTGGAGCACTCACCAATCCACGTGACACTGCAGGGCAGAGGGCCATCACCAGGGGAACAGTGAGGACACATGGGCAGGGCAGGCTTAGGACATTCAAGGTCAAATTTAAAACTGCCCCCCTTAAATGGCAATTACACTATGTAAACCGATGTCCCTGCCGTTAAAGGAACTGGAAGGAAGCTATATAAATGTGTGGTCCTGCACCCAAATTTTCTTCCCATTTTGCACCTGGTTCACGCTCTTGGTGCAACATATATTGCTGACCTGTCTGAGGGTTCAGGGCCCCCCAGCCACAGCAGCTGGCTCAGACCCATTCCACTGCTGTTCACGATGGCCAGAACAAAGGCGGGAAGTCTCCGGCGAGCAGAGGGCCTGTGTCGCGGCGTGGCGGTGTGTGGGTCCCAAGACCCTTCCCACCCACCAGGACTTAGTTTGGGTGCTGGACTCCTGTTTCAACAATTAGGCCCCACCTCCACACCCAATCACCTGCAGACCCCACCTCCCTAGACAGACTCTCATGCACACCTTGGTCCTGGCTGGCATCTGTCTCCTTACAGTGCCTCCCAGGTGTCCCCAGATCCAGCCAATGCCCAGTGCCTGCACAGTAATGAACCCCAAAATGCCATGTAGGCACAACACACACTGGACGTTCATGTTCTCTGTGTACTGAGCGGGAACTGAGACTCCATCTGCGCCTTTCACCCAGGACGGGGACCACAAGCCAAAGCATATGAAGTCCGAAGTTTCACAACTTCAAAAAAAACGGCCCAGTAGCAGAAATTTAATATGGCTCAACCTAAAGCTTCATTAAGAAAAGGGCTAGTACTTCTTTAATAGACACACATATTCCAGAGACACATTGTTACTGCTGTTCTCCTCACTGGGTTTTCGTGAGCTGGTTTACTGGACCTGCCTGCAGGTGTCCCGGCGCCTCACCTATGGATCTTGTAGTCGGGGGGCACGCGTTTCTTCAGGATGCCCAGCAGGTCTTCATCAGCGTCCCGGCAGTGGATCACCAAAGGCTTTCTCAGAGACACGGCCAGCTGGAGCTGCCGCTCAAATACCTGGGGGTCAGAGGGGCAAACCGGGCGGGTTAGTTAGGGCTATGCCCAGTCAGTTACTCCAGAGTCCAGCCTCTCGAAGGAGATGGTGGGAACAGGGACCGGCAGGGCTGCCAGAATTCAACCACCCCGATGGATCCTGCAACCACGGTCAGCGACAGCCCTCCCACGGAACCGCTCCACTGCAACCACCCACCTGCCCTCTTTCGTGGATTCCTACAAAGGCAGGCAGTGCCCAGAGACAGCAACTTTTACAAGGCTGTGCTTGCGGCTAGCTAAGCAAGCCCTTGTATCACCTTGTAGGATCCACAGCCCCTCCCTCACCAACACCGCCACGGCAGGGTATTCACCAGGTCTCTGGACCTGACGCACAATGCAGTGTGGCAGTGCCGGCAGTGCGCTGCATGACCAGCACTTAGCCCTCCTGAGGCTTGAGGTGCTGCTTTGACCTCCTCCACGCGCACCCCCACCCCCACCCCCCGGCCAGCTATGTTTGCTCGCAGGCTGGCTGCATCCAGGTGGTCTGGGCATAGGGAGGGCCACCTGTGCAACCCTGGAGGATGCGATACAAGGCTGTTAAAATGTATTTTTCAGAATATAGTTAATGATACAGGAAAACATTCACAAGTAAAAATAACATTCAACTTCTAAAAATTTCCCCATTAAAAAGCGCGTGTCCACATGTCTCCTTGACCTTAAGCGTTATTTGCAAGATACCCTTTATCACCTACAAGAAATGTTAACGTCAAGTGTATAATGCTTGCTACAAGACATCCAAGTTAAAACAAAAACAAACTCCTTGTAAAACTAGAAGGAAGACTCATAGCAGGTAGAGGTTGGGCCTGGATTTCAGAGGCGAGCGGAGCTAGGAGCTGGTGTGACCGCCAGGAAGCTGGCAGAGCGTGAACCGGGGGAATGCCCGTGTCAGCCCCCTCTTCTGGCTGCACCTAGCTCAGGTGCCCCCCCCCCCCCCAGTCCTTCAGTCTCCTGAGGGCGGCCCAGCTCATTGCTTCAATGATTCGTTCCAGTCAAACACGACTAGCTGCAGAGGCAGGAAGGAGTGCTCGTGCCCCTGGCTCCCAGGCCCCAGATCCAACGGATTCTCGTTTTCCTCTTGGCTGACGAGCACAGGGTACACCTGAACTACCCAGGACTCCATTATCAGGAATTACAGGATGTTTTCTGTGAACACACAGGTAAGCAAGGGGAAAGTGAACAGTGGTTTTCTCTGGGTAGGAGGATAATGACCCACTTTACCCCGAATCTTTTGCTTTTTCTCTTTTCCAATCCTTCTACAAAATATTAAGCCACAATTAGGAAATAAAGCTCTCTCCTAAAATGAGTCAGATCTGTCTGCAACATTATCCCTTGGCCAGAGACGGTGCTTCCACGGGACACAGTGAGAAGTGATGCAGCTCAGGGCTGACTGCAGCCAGGAGCTGCGGTGGCCACCCTTCGTTACTCTGGTGCTGGTTGTAGATCAAAGTCAAGTGTAAGGCACCTACTTCCTCTCTGCTCCCTTCTCCCCATCAGCTCTCCTCCCAACAGCTCGCACCTCACCATCAGTTTTCAGTCCACCCCACCAAACCAAAGCAGCCTGGACAACGTCAAGTTCACTTGTCTAGCAGTGTGCCCGTGGACTCGTGTCTGCAGATTCAATACCACCAGCACTCCACGAATGCCAAGAATACTGTGACAAAGGGAGCATATTCCGGCGCTGAGCAGGCGTCATGTGCACTAATTGTTGGGCTGCTAACTGCAGCCACTACCTGCCACTACCAGGAGAAAGACGAAGCTGTCTGCTCCCCTAAGACCGGCAGACTGAGACCCCAACTGTCCCCCAAGGTCACCAAGACTCAAAACAGGCTTGATGGCAGGGGCTTACAGAGCCCACTTCCTCTCTCCAGTAACCTTGGGAGAAGCATTTCTCCAGGAGTTTCTGCACTGTTCTTTCTTCTGTACCACACCTACCTGGTGCCATAAAAGCCAGTCGAGAGAGGAAATGATTTCAATTTACAAGAGAGACCTAATTCTGAACAGAAATACAACCCATAGAGAACTCATTAGATAAAAGTCAAAGATGGGAAATTGACACAAAATGTTATCTACCTGTCTGAATACAAATCCTTAGGTCAAAATGTCTACCAGTAAGCACTCTATTCTGAATTGAGTCTCTGGGTTGAACACCAGAGCACTAACCAAAAGGCGGGTGTATCCTACCAGGGGTGCCTTGGAGAGAGCAGTTCCACCAGGTCGCCAGGAGCTGGAGGGGGCTCAGCAGGAACTGGTCAACCTCGCTGACTGATCTGAAAAAACCTGCCTGAGACGTGCCAGGAATCTAAAGTTGTTTCTTGTTTAAATGAGCCATTAAGCCTTACACAATTATTGGCTGCCATGGATCACTGTGTTCAAACTGGAATCTCTTATCTCCTAAAGGTTTATGAAGGGCCGCAGTCATGGGGTCAGTAGAAGCTCTTTGAGAAGTGCGTGCCTGTTGAGTCTGGGGCAATCCCTTTTAGTTCAGAGTGAACCGGCAGATCCACGGCAGCACAAGCACTGCCGTGGAAGGGAAGGACTGAGGCCAGCCCAGAGGTACCGCAGACACGTGGGACTTGCAGCAGACCTGACCTATGCGACAGGCAGGCAAACCCTCCAATCAGAAGCCCCCACCCAAAATGCCAAGCTCCTCTCGCCCTGCTGACTCTTCACGCTCAGGTCTCAGAAGGCAAATGGTGACTGTGATGGAAGTGCTCATCTCTGGTGGAAGGAGCACTGATCTGCTCATTGCCCTTTTGTTTTCCACACGGAATCGATGAGCACCTTTAAGAGTCAGAATAAAAACAAGGAGGAGAGAGGGAACGTGCTGATACTTGTACGAGAGGGGAAGCAGCCACATGGTAGCTGTCCTGCCTCTACACAAGGAAGCTACACAACCAGAGGCACTGCAGTGACTACGACAGACGGCACCTACAGGATCCGGATGCGAGGTTCCAAGAGGAGAGAAAACCATGATGCTAAGTTTCAGCCATGAAAATGAAAATCACGAGCAAACTAAAAGACCCTCCTTACCTTATGCTGTTCAGGGACAGGTGTGGTACACTTGTAAGAGTAATCCAAGCCCATTTCCCCAAATGCCACAGCCTTGGGGTGCCTTAAAGCTTGCAAAAGATTTCTTTCTTGAGTATCACTATAGTAACGTGCAAAATGAGGGTGGCAGCCAAAGGCCCCCCAAACCAAATCCTCTCTCAGCAGCTCCTCCCAAAGGCGGTCTGTGAGGGTCCGAGGGTCGCAGAAGTCAGAGATGCAGCCCTGAAACTCCTTCGGGAAGGAGCTGCTATAAATTTTCCGGAACTTGGTAAAGGTCCCTCTGAAAGACAACTTGGCATAGAGCATGTCCAGGTGGCAATGGGTGTCAATGAAGCCCTCTTCGAGGCTCGGCTTCCTGCGGCTACTTGGCAGGGAGCTGGAGGTGTATTCTACACACGGACGCGCTGGGCTCTCCTCCTGGAATGTCTCCTGGAATGTTTTTTTCCCCTTCACCTCCTCATCTTCCAAACCCGTGGAGAAGTGAAATGAACGCGTGTTCTGAGACCTGCCCTCCTCCGTGGGCTCCAGGTCTCTAGTTGTGTGCTGGGAGCTCACGGTAGAGCTGGGGGAGTAATCGCTCAGGAGGCTCCAGCTGCTCTTCCCGGCCTGGGAGGTGCCATTGCTGCTGCCGCCCAGGGAGGGGTAGCTGGAGGGCTTGGGGCTGCTGGTCCAGTAGCTGGCGTAGTCACACCACGGGCTGCTGTACAAATGCGGGGGGTACATGACATAGTCAGTGGCCAAGGGCAAGGGCTCTGGAAGCGTGGCGAGCTTCCGAGAGACCGGCTCCTCCTGAGAGAACCTGATTGCGGAGACCTCGTCTACATCGGACCAGTCGCTTCCTGACGAGGAGTCCCCCAGCATGACCACCTTCCTGGATTTCTCCTGCAGGACAGAAAACACACCCGGGTCAGCAATGCCCACCAATGACACGGTGCTCCGGCCTCTGGCCTCGGTGCAGCTCTGCTGTCACCCGGTTCCTTACAAGTTCTACACCACCAGCCCCGGTTGATACTGCAGTCAGCGCGAGGAGTAGTCCCAACAGAAACCTGCGACCACGGGCTCAGAAAGCCTCTCAGAAGCACAGTTAGACCTGCACTTCTTCCTCTGGGAGTGATCGCACTGAAGCAAAACTGCTCTCTAGAACATACGATTGGGAATGTCAGAGAAAAGCAGTGCCCAGCACACCTCACGGCTAACAGGTGTCCAGTATGTTCAAAATACTAGATTCCTCCCCAACTGCTGGGGTCAATGCCCCCTCCCCCACCACACCCGTTAGCCATGGAACGTAGAAGAATGGTGCCGTATTTAACTGCCACTGTGCAGTCGGAGAAGGAAGTCAGCCACCACATAACGGAGATTCAAAACGTGACTCGAGAAATCAAGCCACGCTGACACACCGTGCTGGCCTAGTGACGTGCGGGTCCAAGTCCAGCTGAGCTGCCAGCCAATGAGCAACAACTTGGACGTCCGGCTCAGCAGGGCTATCAGATGACTGTAATTCCTGCAATATCCACACTGAGCACTGTGAGGACCCCAAAATGAGAGCAGGCTAGAACTTTTTGCACTCCTGACTGACAACACGCAAACCTGGTAAGAGAGCAGTTTTAAGCCATTAAGTAGACAACAGCAGCAATGGGAACACTTCCACACTGCATTAAGCCAGCTTACTGCTACTAGAATGTGAGTTATACAAAGTTAAAAATAGTTGTTTTCTCCAACAATGTATCCCAAACTCCTAGAACCACGGGCTCCATTTCTATTCAAAGCAACCCCACAGGTCAGAGGATAACTGCTCCTTAGGGTTCTGGCACAGTCACTCGTTATGGAAGCAGACTGCCTCATTTCTCTCCCTTGAGATAGCGGGTGGGTTTGAACTGCCAACCTCAAAAAAAAAGAGAGAGAGAAAAGGAACCTGAGTGTGGTCTAACTGACTTGGAAATTGTTACATGTGGCTCTTTGGATCCTGTTTCAAATGAAAACAATCATGAAACAAAAGGGAAATTTAAAATGCCTACTTGATGATATTAAGGCTATTTCTGTGTGCCACAAAACAGGCAATTACTTTGAAAATCTTAAATCTTTTAGAGAGATACTTTGAAATTGAACCAAGTGATACAGTACGTAGGATTTGCTTCAAAACATTTCAGGGGAAAATAAGGAATAGACATAAAACGGGAGAGAATGAGCAGACACAACCTAGGCAGGTAGGAGTCACTGCCGCCATGACCCGCTCCTGCTTGCCTGCCAGAGGTGCAGGGGCAGAGCGACTTGGAGATCACGGACAGAAAGAAGCACAGCAGGCCAACGAGAAAGAGCCCACGCAGCTCTCTGGCTTCACGTCCAAGCTTTGGGCCCCCCTCCTACCTCGGTGCTCACAGGACTGGCACTGATGGCAGTCCCTGCTTCACCCTGAGTCTACACAGGGTCCCTTTTGTGCTGCCTTCCCCTCAGGGAGTCCCTCTGCCCCTGGGCCACACCTGAGGGTGAGCAGATTAACTCTGCCCAGTAGCCCTATGGGGCTCACCCCAAAGTAGCTTTGTTAAAAATTAAAGGAGATAAAACAAGTCAAACCTGGCCACAGAGTTAATATTGAAGATGAGTAAAGGGTGTGAGCTTACTTTTTTTTATGTAATCATTTTATTGGGGACCCTTACGGCTCTTATCACAATCCATATGTACATCCATTATGTCAAGCACATTTGTACATATGTTGCCATCAACATTTTCAAAACATTTTCATTCTACTTGAGCCCTTGGTATCAGCTCATTTTCCCCCTATCCCCCCTCCCTCCCTTATGGACCCTTGATCATTTATAAAGACCTCCACCACCACCCAGTCTTACACCAACCACTGTCTCCCTTCACCCACTTTTCTGTTGTCCATCCCCCTAAGAAAGGGTCATATGCAGATCATTGTGATCTATTCCCCCTTTCTCCCCCCCACCTTCCCCTTCCCCTCCTGGTGTCTCTACTCTCATTACTGGTCCTGAGGGGTTTATCTGTCCTGGACTCCCTGTGTTGTGAGCTCTATTTGTAGCAGTGTACATGCTCTGGTCTAGTCAGATTTGTAAGGTAGAACTGAGGTCATGATAGTGGGGGTGTGAGTTTACTTTCATAAATGTTTAAAATTTTCCATAATAATAAAAAAAAACCTAACTACCACAGAAGTTATAATTTACGTGCTGGGGGAAAAAGTTCCCATACTAAAAAGCTCAAATAAAAATAAGCACTCCAAGTCCGAGCAAAGGCAGACGAGGCTCTTCTGGCTGTCTCGTGATCACCTGGGGCACTTGTTGAAAACACACATTCCCGGGCAGCATCCCGGACCTCCAGGATCATACACCCCCAAGAGTCCCGAAAGCAAGAATGTAAACAGCTACTTGGGCACCAATGTTCCCTGAGGAACTAGTTGCCACAGCTCAAATGCCCACCAACAGATGACAGGTAAACAGAACCAGGCTCACACATTTTGTGAGCCTTGGCAGCCAGGCTGGTGATCTAGGGCGGAAACATCAGCTATGGAAGCCCTATGAAGTGCAGGTCTCCCCACACACACCGCACATGCGGCATGGTCCCCAGGAGTCAGAGCTGACTGGAGGGTCGCTGCTTCTGGGTTAGTACTTCACAGAAAGAGCAAAGCCCACAGGAAGAGAAGCAAAAGAAACCATTCAAACACAACTAAGGGGAGACACAGACCAAAAAAAGAGAAAAAACCCAAGAAGGGGAAAATACTATTACTACCATCTTTAGAACATGAACTCTAGCTGTTACCATCAGAAACAAGAGGAGCTCATTGAAAAACATGCTTTAAAAAGAGCTTTTTGATATTAAAAATATGCATGTAGAAACATATAGAAATGTTGGAAGGTCAGGTTGAAGACATTGAAAGAAAACAGAAGAAAAACCGATAGATTGAAGAGTATGGTGAAATGAAATTACCTACTCCTAACAGCCACCAAGTGACTGAGCCAGACTATGCAAATAAGTCGCAGAGGACTCTAACTAGAGAAGAGAAAACTGGGACCATCAGGGACAAAGAGCCACCAGCAGAGCACATTCTTTGCCTAAAGTGGTGGAGACCAAGACCAGGGCAACAGAGGCCGAGGCCCAGAAACCATGGCATGGAGCAAAGGAGCCAGGCGAGAGCGCAGAAGGGCTGTGCCGCTGAGACCCTGCGGGAGAGGACAGGCGGGCTTCCTGGCCAGTAGGGGCAGAGGCCAAGGCACCATGTGATGGAGAGGCTGAGGACCACAGAGATAGTTGGTGGCTGGATAAGGAGAGTCCCTGCTGGGGACCAAAGACTGCATCCTGAATGCTTTCCATCCTGGCTGGTAAACCCCAGTCCTGCCTACTGTCTGTGGGTTCTGCGTGGTCACTGCAATGAAGTGTTGAACCCAGAAAAGCAGAGTGCCCTGGGGGGCGGCTGGCATTGGGATAGGATAAAGGCCACTGGAGGGGGAGGTATGCCTGAAGTCTGCCTTGTGGCAATCGACCTTGGGTTGGTGTGGAGTTGAATTCCCCTCCCAACAGAAGCTGGAGGAAAGGAAAGCAAAAATTAGAATAGCCACCCAGATCACACACAAACATGGCATTCCAGAGGAGGGAAAAGTAAGAAACTTCCCAGACTTTTTCTGGGCTAAGGATGACTCCAAGAGATGCATTTACCTTACTCTTCCTGACACCCTTTTAAGCAAGCAGCGGCAAAGCAAGCCCCATGGAAGAAGCACACCGCCTTTGTGAGCATGAGCTAGCAGAAGTCAGCCACACACGGCCAGATCCATGGGGGGGGAGGGGAAGAGACCCAAACCCAACTGTAAGACAATGGGACAGTCCCTCTCAGAAGGGATGATAAATCCAGGGTGTGCTGCGGCACTGATGAACCACGTTTAAGTATCCTCTGGTTAATAGTTCCTCCCCATAATATTATGGTTTTTATTGCTTTACCTAGTCAATCATGTTGGATTTGCACATGTTTATTTGTGTATTTAAAATAGCTCAGTACACGAAAGCCAAGATAAATAACCCTTCAGAAACAGTAAGAGGAGTACTGGTTCCCTGATGTACAGGAAGAGGGAGGGGAGGGGGGAAGAGGGAGCAGATAGCATTGATGACTGTATAACCCCCACTGTAGGGATAGAACAGAATTGCATATGAATGGATATATTGGATTGTGTGAGATATGGCAAAAGAGAAAAAACTATACAGGGGAAAAAATTATAAATAAGGGTTCCTGGGGGCTAGGGTGGGAAAGGGAGGTAATAAAGGGGAGATGATATCAAAGAATTCAAGAAGAAAGAAACTGTTTTAAAACGGATTGTGGTAGCAATTGTACAACATTGCTCAATGTGATGGAACTACAGAATGTCATATCTGTAGGAGCTTCCAATAAAATGATTTAAAACTGTTTTAAAAAGCAGATGGAAAAAGAACTGGCAGAGCCTGCAGAGTGTCTATCCTAGCCCAGCACTGAGGCACACCGACGGCAGGGCCGGCCCTCAGACAGCGGGGCCCTGCCGGGGCCACACCCTCCTCTCAGGCTTCCAGAGGGTGGGACCTGTCAGGTTAAATGAGGAGCGCACCAGAGAAAGCTGTGGGGACCAGTCGGATCCCTGGAGACTCTCTCCATGCTCACAGAAAGTTGTTGGAAGAGAGTGAAATGGAGGGTTCTCTGAACGCGCTCCCAACTCCCAGAATCACCACTGCTGAGTTGACGTCACCTTACAGGGACCCTATACGTACAGGGAGCCCACCGCCTCATCCTTTCTCCATGGAGCAGCGGATGGGCTTGGGCTGCAGACCTTTGAGTTAGGAGCTCAAAGCCTAACCCACCCCAAGGGTCTTTCCCTTCAGCAACAGCCCCCCCATCACTCACTCCCCTCAGCCTTCTATAACCACCAATAACTGACCTTTAGTCTCTAGGCACCCAGCACATCCACCCACTCCACCCATGTGACCATCACACACAGCCCCAGAGCTTCCAACATGGAAGAAAGAGGGTCAACATACTCAGGACACAGCAAAAAGAAAAACAATTTCTAAAAAGAAATGAGATGAAACGAGGGCAGAGATGCTACTGTTTTTTAAAAAGGTGAATCCTCAGAAAACGAAAGAGCTCCGTGACAGTAAAACATGGACAGTTGGCCAGAAGAGCAGTTTGAGAGATGAGAAAGAAGGCACGCACCTATAAAGTACAACACGAGAGGACGAGGCCTGAAAGTCCAGCCTCCAAATCCAGAAGGCCCAGAAAGAGGGACACGTGTGGAAGAAGCACCTGCCAAGCCCGTCAAGAACTGCCCCCGAGAGACAACGCGAGGTGTCTAGACGGGAAGCACCACCGAACACCCAGAACAGCGGGCTGGTCAGTGAAACCTCTGACCTCTGGAATCCAGAGAGGAAGTTTTACAAAAGACCAAATCAGAACAGCTCCAGACAGCGACGCGGCACAGCAAGTTAAAAGACCAAGAAACGGTGCCTTCAAAATTCCATAGAAAATTCCCCACTTAGAATTCCAAAGCCAAACTTGCAACCCAGTTGGGAGTAAAATAAAGGCAATCTCTGACACTGAAGTTTCCCCTCACCGCCACTCAGCCTTTCTCAAAAGTGTCGATGCCAAATATACATCACCATCAATAAGAGTAACCAAAGATCAAGAAACATGAGAGACCACAAAATTCCAAAGACTGACCCCAGAACACAGACTTGTGCCAGCAGTGCGGAGCAGGCGGGACAGCAGAGGGCTTCCGGGGGGAGGCCTCCAGGGAAAGAGGGTGGACTGAGAAGAGGTGAAGGCGCTGGCAAGCCTGGCAGATCAATTAGGGACGGGTAGAAAGAAAACTAAAGAAACATAACAAAGCTGTGGTTCACGTCAAGTTTTAAAACAAAAGGAAATGTGGTCAGTATACGAGGTAACTCGGGTGCAAACAATGATAGCAACATTGACCTGAAATGCTGAACTAGTGAAAATTATATAACTTCATGGGAGGCTGCAGACAGATGGGGAACTGAATGTGTTTGTAGATTCGGGTGCTGCTTAAAAGAACTGAATTCTCATCTTCCGTAAGTAGGGAGTCAACATGTGCCTAAAATGGACAGAGCCAGTCAAAAGTACAAAGCTAGTTAGAAATATGAATGGAAGAGCGAAACACAAAGGGGCTGCCTCTGAGGAGCAGTAGTTAAGAAAGGCTGGGCAGAGGGGTGGAACGCTGTCCCTCTATAGCAATGTGGTGTTAAAAATGGTCGTTTCCCTCAGATACCACTCTGCCCAAATGAAGTCACGTTTCCTGACTCCTGGCTGTCCAGGTTTCTAGATTCTTGTCCAAGAGGTGTGAGCAAATAGAAAGCACAGCTACTGAGCCGAGCCTTACATGGGCCCACAGGAGCACACGTCTCAGTCTCTAATAAAGGGAGGGTGGGAGTGTACACAGAGGCCCCCAGAGTAAGTGTCAGACAAACTGTTGAAGGGTGGCAGAGCAACAGGGATCATACCAGGGCCCCTGACACGAGAGGAGCCATCTTTTGAAAGACCAATTAGTTGAATCTGTTGTTTGTTTTTAAAGTCACTGTTACACTGTCAAACCTACATGCTAAACAATATAAGCAACATAAATCCTAAAACAAAGCACTGAACTGAGCACCAAAACCCTCACAGCTGAACCAAGGGAACTCGCGATTGAAGTTGAGGATTTCCGTTGACCTGGATGCACAGTTAGCAATCATGGACGCGGCAGTCAAGAAATCAAGTGACCCATCACATTCGGCACATCTGCTGCACAAGATCTCTAAAAGCCTTAACGAGCAGATGCCACGTTGAAGACTATGTGCTCCTGACCCAGCAGGGTAGGTTCAATCATCCCAGGTGCAGGTGAAAGCTAGACACCGAGTGAAGACCATGGAGAAGCGATGCACTGACCAGTGATGACAAGGAGCACCCAAAGTACTGCAGGCAGAACCCGGAGGCACAGGACCTCTAAATACAGGCATGTACATGTGTAAATGTGTTTAAATATAACGACAGGGAAATACATCTATGTAAATAGATTTACATGTTAAGTATGAAGGGAGCAGATGGACATTGGGCCTTGACTCAAATACTCCCTCAACACAGAACACTTTGTTCTAATAACCCAGCATTCCATGATGCTCACCTCCCCTGATACCATTGCTGAAGACAAAATGCATGCATGAGCAAATGTGGTGAAGAAAGCTGATGGTGGCCGGCTTTCAAAAGATATACAGTGAACCCTCGCCACTTCGCGCTTCGACTTCCACGGCTTCACTCTATTGCGGTTTTTGCCTAACAGCGCATGCTCTGTCATTACTGCCACTGATTGGCTCATATTGTACACGTTTGATGCCATAAATAATATAATAAATAATAAATGATAATTGTAACGTCCAAAATGTTTTACTGTATTTTCCCTTTTTCGTTTAATAAATTGGGTAATACGAGTGTAATGGTGACTAAAGGGTGTTTTTTCATGTCCTCTATGCTCTAACTACGAAAATATTTGATTTACAAATAAGGAACCCTACTTCGCGGAATTTCATTTATCACGGTAGGGTCTAGAACCGTTTAACCTCGATAAACGAGGGTTCACTGTAGTGTCTGGGGTCGTAAAGCCTTAAAGATAAACAAGCGGCCATCTAGCTGAGAAGCAACAAGAGCACATGGGAGAGGCACACCAGCTTGAGTGATCATGAGGCGTCGATAGGACCAGGTATCAAGCATCAAAGCCCATCTGTAGACAATTGGACAGCCCCTTACAGAAGGGTCTCCGGGAGGAGACAAGCCAGTCAGGGTGCAGTGTAGCACCGATGAAACATACAACTTTTCTCTAGTTCTTCCTCCCCCCACCCCACTCACCACGATCGTGACTCCAATTCTACCTTACAAATCAGGCCAGACCAGAGCATGTACACTGATACATATAAGAGTTGGAAACACAGGGAATCCAAGAAACCCCTGGGGACCAATAATGAGAGGGAAAGGGGGCGGGGAGGCGGGGAGAGGAACTGTTTGCAATGATCTACATATAACCCCCTCCCAGGGGGACGGACGACAGAAGAGAGATATCAGTCAGTGTAAGACATGAAAAGAAAAAAACATATAAATAAATTATCAAGGGTTCATGAGGGAGAGAAGGAGGGAGGGAGGGAGGCAGGGAGGGTGGGGGACGGAGGGAGGGAAAAAAATGAGGAGCTGATACCAAGGGCTCAAGTAGAAAGTTTTGAAAATGATGACAATATATGTACAAATGTTCTTGACACAATGGATGCATGGATTGTGATAAGAGCTGAATGAACCCCAAATAAAATTTTTTTTTTTTTAAAATAGCAAGTACTATGGACTGCCAGAAGAGCAAGCAAATCTGTCACCCAGTCTTGCCAGAATGTCCCTTAGAAACAAGGACGGTGACACTGCCTCACATTCTTGGACACGTGACAGGAGAGCGTCAGTCCCGAGAGAGCCCTCATGCTTGGTGAAGTCGCTGGTCAGCAGAAAAGCAGCAGTCCCTCAGCACAGTGGAGGACGCAGGACTGCAGCAACGGGCTGACACCCGGCACATGGGAGCATGGCCGGCCGGGCAGTGTCCCCTTCTGTTTGCACAGGTCCTTACAGAACTGGACCCTAATCAACAACACCTACCATAACGAGAAGCTGAGGGTGACGAGCATTTCTGAGAGCTATTGGGACAGAACCATGGACTGATTTCCTGGCCCAACTCCTAAAACCAAACTCACTGCCATTGCGTGTATTCCGCTCATGGCGACACTCCCAGGCAGCTGTCCCTGCGGGTCTCCAAGACTAACTCTTACGGGGTAGAAAGTCTCCTCTTTCGCCCTCAGAGTAGCCGGTGGTTTCACACTGCCGACTTTTTGGTTAGCAGCCCAGTGCATACATAACACATTATGTCACCGGCATTCTGGGCCTTGCTTTAAAAAATATTGGAAGCATTTAAAAACACTTAGAATTAACTAGAACGATCGAATGGATTTAAAAAAGAACAAGACAACCCAGATAAAGTGGCTGAGACTGACTCACCGTCTGGGTTTTTGAAGGGGAGTTGCATCCTCTCGAAAGGTGTAGTGGGGAAGAGTCTGGGGAAGAGTCCGGGGAAGAGTCTGGGGAAATGTCTCTCTCGAAGACTGTCCTCCGGTAATGAAGGGGCTCCTCACTGAGTTTCTCCTGAGTGTCCACAACCACTCTCGTATTAAAGAAGCTGCTCCTGGTCTGGTCCTCCTGTGCTCTGACCTCTGGGGCTGGCTCTGGCTCTGTCTGACGAGCCAAAACGGTAACATTCCTGGCTGGCCTTCTCTCGTGGGCAGCACCTGCTCCTGTACTTGGTTTTGCCCTGGTGGCAGTCTCGCTCTTCCTTTTGGGCATTGACTTCCCCAAGATGCCCTGGATGGCCTTCAGGTAGATCACTGTAGAGCCTTGGTCTTGGTCTTGAAGTCGCTCCCTCCTCCTTTTCTGGACTTTGTTTGGTTCCTCATTTGTATCATTTTTATCCTCAGCTTCAGCTGGAAATCCAGAGTTTGTGAAGTTACAGTAACTATCCTTAGAATAAACCTGGAAGAAAATAAAGACTTTTAAAGAGGGTTATCTCAACGACAATTACGTATTTGACCTTAAGCCAAACACACTACCATTGACTTGTAGCAACTAAAGAATAGGGTAGAACTGCCCCCTCCTTGGTTTTCAAGACGCTCCTGTGGACCAGCTGGTGGTTTTGAACTGTTGACCTTGTAGTTAATAGCCCACTAAGGCACCCTCCCTACATATTTGAAGCCCTTTGCAAATTACAAAGCAGTGATGATTTCACCAGCCAAAGAGAAAAGTCGCCCTTCCACTGGTGGTATAGCTAACACAATGGATGGTTTCAGGGTGATGGGCTTTAGCATCCGAAGAGACCAGGTACCAAACCCGCCATCTAAGAGACAGACACCTACAGGTCCTGGTGAGGGGAAGGGGGGAGGGCTGGCCCCAGGAGACAGCATATTAGCCTCCTGATTATAGTGTCTACACTACACCCCAAGGCTCCTTGAAGTCCTCTGCAAACTCCTTCCCCTAAACCTTAACTTTGGTGTTAGAAGACACCTCCAACTCTCCCAAAGACTGCACCAGGGTCAACCAAAAGATTAACTAGTCACCCACCCCTCCAGTGCCCAGACTCTCCTGAAAGGCAGAGAAACTCAGCCTTCGCCCTCCTGCCCCATACCCTCTCACTCCTGGAGTCCATGGGCAAGAAGCTACTTGGCGGAACCATTCACTGTTCAAGTGCTGACCAATCTGCTTCCATTGAGCTTGAAGCCCATGAAGTCCGTGGCCTCGTGGGTCACCCAGGCTAATAGCATCACACTGTTCCTTAAGTTTGCGTTCCACTCCTAGTTTGCTGAGCAGAGTCTTGGATCATAAAAGCTTTTGAGCAGCCGTCTAAGACACACATATTGCCTTCTCATCTGGAGCAAAGGAGAAAGGAGGTAACCCAAGAGTCAAAAAAATGAATTTACAGCATGGACCTTCCATTCAAAACGGCTTTCTGTCCAAGAAATGTGCGACACAGGCAAGTGCTGTCAGAAACACCTCAGATTCACTATGCATCTGCTTTTAAGTTTTAGTCATTGTGTATTCAGAGACCTCACTATTGCCAATCTGTGTGTAACACCCCTGCCACACATACACACACACCATTAAATTACATGACCCCATATGGCCTACATATGATTTTGACTATAGGCTTAAATGTCTGCATGAACCACAGCCACAGCCCCATGTACCCTGGGACCATAACTACATGGTGCCTGGCTACCACTACTGGCCAAGGGATCCTGACAGAATGGGGAGGGGGGG